TATGAAAAACAACTGTCTCTACTCCTCCCCCGGTTAGTAAGAGAGTGGCACTGTTTTACATTTTTACAAATCTCTTTAGTGTCTGGCTCAGAAGAAGACGGGTAGAGTCTCACATAAGCTTCTGCATTACAGCAAGTGTATCTGTCACCGAGGCTGCCGTAACAAAGTACCACGGACTGGGTGGCTTCAACAACAGACAATTATTTTCTCAGAGTTCTGGAGTCTTGGGGTTTGAGATCGAGCTGTTGGCAGGTTTGGTTTCTCCTGGAGCCCTGGCTTCTCGGCTTGCAGGATGGCTACCTTCCTGCTGTGTCCTCAGTCTTTCCTCTGTGCATGCACTAGTCTGGTGTCTCTTTGTGTGTCCAAATTCGCTCTTCTTGTAAAGACACCAGACAGACTGGATTAGGGCTGACCCTAACAGCCTCATTTTAACCTAATCACCCCACTAAAAGCCCAATCCCCAAATAAACAGTCACATTCTGAGGTTCTAGGAGTTAGAGATTCAACATGTAGATTTTGGGTGGTCATGACTCAGCCGCAGCAGCAGGTATGAATGAAAACAGCTAGTAAGAGCACAGTAGAAGCACTCACAGCAAACTGAGTTAATCTCTGAAAACACATATATTTATACCCTAAACCTACAAATTTACAATATTCTAGAACACAGACGTACACACTCAACACATTCCACTAACCATCAGGGTGATGTCACCACGTCACAGAGCCTCTGGAACACTCCACTGACCACTCATGAGAGAATGAGTTAAAAAGGCACATAGCACCTTAGTATTTGTATGAAAACAGTTTGGACCTCCTTCGTAGACATCCCCTAAAAGGTTCCTGGGGACTCCTGGAAGTCCAAAGACCACACTGAGAGCTGCTGGTATAAGCTTTATGACTTAACGCAATTTTTTTCTTTTTTTTTGAGACAGGGTCTCACTCACTATCACCTAGGCCTGGAGTGTAGTGATGTGAGCATGGCTCACTGCAGCCTTGCCCTCCTGGGCTCAGCTGATCCCACCTCAGCCTCTGAAGTAGCTGGGAATAGAGTTGCATGCCACCATGCCTGGCTAATTTTCTTTTGTAGAGACAGGGTGTTACCATGTTGCCCAGGCTGGTGTTGAACTCCTGGGCTTAAGTGATCCTCTTGCCTCCCCAAAGCCCTAGGATTACAGGTGTGAGCCACTGCCCCCAATTTTAAGAAATATTTCTTGCTGGGCACTGGTGGCTCAAGCCTGTAATCCCAGCACTTTGGGAGGCAGAGGCGGGTGGATCACGAGGTCAAGAGATCGAGACCATCCTGGTCAACACGGTGAAACCCCGTCTCTACTAAAAATACAAAAAAAAATTAGCTGGGCATGGTGGTGCGTGCCTGTAATCCCCAGCTACTCGGGAGGCTGAGGCAGGAGAATTGCCTGAACCCAGGAGGCGGAGGTTGCAGTGAGCCGAGATCGCGCCACTGTACCCCAGCCTGGGTAACAAGAGCGAAACTCCGTCTCAAAAAAATAAAAAATAAATAAAGAAATATTTCTTCACCTTGTTAAGCCTCAGTTTGTAAAATGAGGATAATATTATCTACTTAAAGGGCTGTTGAAAAGATTGATGTAAAAATAAATGACAAATGTGAACACTCCACTACTATTAGCTGTTACTTATGAAAAATTTCTTAACTTCTCACATTTGATATATATTTAAATGTATAGGGAGTAATTATCTCTGGATGCTAACATTTATTTTCATTTATTATTTATTCATTTTTTATAGAGACGGGGTCTTGCTAGTTTGCCCATGCTGGTCTTGAACTCCTGGCTTCAAGCGAACCTCTGGTTTCAGCCTCCCATTTGAATTGAAGTATAACACACACTGACAAAAGCACAAAGTATAAGCTTGATGATTTTTCACAAAGTTAACTTGTCTTTGTTTAAAGGGCATTTTACCAAAAAAAAAAAAAAAAAAAAAAAAAAAGCTTTTAATAAAAACCAGTAACAGCAGCCACTTTCCTCACTTCTAGCAGCATGGGCTTGAACATTCATGCTTCCTGTGGTATCGAGATGGAAGCTGACAGGTGCTCCACTGACTCAACTCAGTACACCTCTAGTGCCACTGGGTTCCCGAGCTCAGGGACAGTGAGCTCCAGCACAGTGCAAGGGCAAACCAGAACCAAATCTGAATCATTACAATGCTGGATTCTACTCAATACTCAGTTTAGGAAAATCTAGAGCTTGCTTTAAAAATAATCATAAGTAACATTTATAATGTGTCTAAAGTAAAAATTACTCTCCATAACAAAGTTCCATGTATAACAATTCACAAATTCTGTGAAATAGCAAGTGAGAGATTTTCTTCCCTCTTCCTCTTAGAGGAATTGAGGGTGAAGTCAGTGCCTCAAAAGCTGGCTGGAGCAGTGTTAGGTACAAAGAACTATTTCAGTGTAAAATGAATTACAAAATGGTAACATGAAGGAAGGTCTGATTGTAAGCACAGCAACAGCAAATCCTCCAACATTTACCCCATTATCATTTGGTGAGAGGAAGTCTGAATCTAGAAAAATTCTTGTCTAACCCTAGCTCTAACCCTTTTAATGTTGTTGCTCTCTACCATTTTGCTTTCTTGTGAAAGTTCACATCAAAACTATCTGTTACTCCCTCTTCCACAACAGCAATGAAAACTATTTCCTAAGAGCTACGCTGTCCCCAAAAGTGGAATACAGACTTCATGAATTTTTTTTTTTTTTTTTTTTTTTTTTTTTTTGAGACGGAGCCTCGCTTTGTGGCTCAGGCTGGAGTGCAGTGGTGCAATCTCAGCTCACTGCAACCTCCACCTCCTGGGTCCCAGTTCAAGCAATTCTCCTGCCTCAGCCTCCCAAGTAGCTGGGATTACAGACACGTGCTACCATACCCAGCTAATTTTTTTTTTTTTTTTTTTTTTTTGTATTTTTAGTAGAGACGGGGTTTCACCATGTTGGCCAGGCTGATCTTGAACTCCTGACCCTGTGATCCACCTAACTCAACCTCCCAAAGTGCTGGTATTACTGATGTGAGCTACTGTGCCCAGCCGAAAGAACATTTTATCTCTGCCTACCACAGCATGTGAAAAAAAGGAAAAATTAAAAAATTTTTAATTTAAAAAAGTTCCAATTCTACCAATACCTACCAATTTACAAAACTTTAGAAAACTCAAAAATACAGAAGTGCACATTATTAACCACCAGAGTGATGATGCTGTCACGTCACGGAGACTGGAAAACCCCACTATACAACTTGTGAGAGAATGAGAGGGAAAAAGGCAAATGACGTGAGAAGAATTACTTAACAAGTCTTAGGGAAGAGTAATCACTAAGTTCTCAATAACACAATTTCCAATTCTATTTACAATTTGGTATTTGGGCCCTGTGTGGTGGCTCACACCTGTAATCCTAACACTTTGGGAGGCCAAGGTGGGAGGATGGCTTGAGCCCAGGAGTTTGAGACCAGCCTGGGCAACACAGTGAAATCCCATCCCTACAAAAAAAAAATTTTTTTTTAAAGTAGCCAGGCATGGTGGTGCCCACCTGTAGTCCCAGCTGCTCGGTAGGCTGAGATGAGAGGACAGCTTGAGCACAGGAGGTCAAGGCTGCAGTGAGCTGTGACTGTACCACTGCACTCCAGAGAGGGCGACAGAGACCCTGTATCCAAAAAAAAAAAAAAAAATTACTATTCAATATATAGAGCTAAATTTTCCAAAGACAAAACTTAAAAAAAACTCCTACAAACATAAGTCGTAAGTCTCAGACACCCCCCAAAAGAAGTGACATTTACTTCCTGGCTGAGGTTGCCCAGTGGCTTGTCAGAAAGAAACCAATGAGAGAGTGCAGGCACACCAAGATGAGATGAGGCGTAAACTCCACAGTCGGCTTCACAATTCAGCACTATCCCTGGAGCACATTCCCAAGTGCCATCTAACAATATGAGGCGAGGTAAATATGAGGTGAGGTAAAATCTCAGTTTATATAGAAAATGACTATCTAGTAGAAAAAAAAGGCCTTCTGGGAAAAAAAAAATCATCCCTGCAGGTGCTAGTATGGAAGTCCTCCATGAATGATTCCATTATGCTGGTGAATAAGTGCGGGCAACATTGTATCCCAACACAGGAAGGGGGTCAAATTGAAACCATGTGATCATACTAACAGGAAAACCGTTACTTTAAACATTCATTTATTCACAAGTGATTTGGGCAGTCCCAATAATAAATCCCAGTGTTAGACCGTCCTCACAATGTAGCGACTTAAAGTTCAGAAGGAGACTTAAAGAATAGAAAGAAAGAAGGAATCAAAGATAAGAATAAGGAAGGAGAGGACATGAAGGAGGAAGAATGTGAGGAGGGAGGGAGACTGTGAGGAGGGAGGAGTGGGAGGCTCAGGCTCCCCAGCATTCCCCCTGGAAGGATGGATGCAACTGCTGGGAATACCCACTCCCTCTGCAGTCCCTGGTGAGGAAGGAGCGAGTGCCTCCTGGGGCTGACATTCTTCAGGGAACTCTGCAGTCCTGCCGATAACATCAGTTTGTTTTGCTGCTGCCTTGAAAAGTAAACAGAAAAGAGCTATAATACTGCAACTCTATCAGGGGCATGGGAAGGCGAAGGTGGGGATGGGTGAAGGAACAGGAATCCAACAAATATTAAGAGGACAACCTTGGCTGGGGTGCAGTGGCTCACACCTCTAATTCCAACACTTTGGGAGGCCAAGGCGTGCGGATCACAAGGTCAGGAGTTCGAGACCGGCCTGGCCAATGTGGTGAAACCCCATCTCTACTAAAAATACAAAGATTAGCCAGGCATGGTGGCAGGCACCTCTACTCGGGAGGCTGAGGTAGGAGAATTGCTTGAACCTGGGAGGTGGAGGTTGCAGTAAGCCAAGATCACACCACTGCACTCCAGCCTGGGCAACAAAGCGAGACTCTGTCTCAAAAAAAAAAAAAAAAAATGACAAACTTTGGTAGGAAAATGATAAACCAAGCAAAGTGAAAGGCAAAAACCTTTAATAGTTATTTCGTTAAAGATAAAATTCTGGGTAGTAAAGGAATTAAAGGCAGAGTCTCAAAGAGATATTTGCACACCCGTGTCTGTAATAGCACTTCTCCCAGCAGTCCAGAGGAAGCAAGCTAAGTGTTCACTGATGGAGAAACAGTGTGGTATACACATGTAACTGAACATTTGATTGTATGTATAGTACAAGAAGGAAATTCCGTCACCTGACATGACATGGATGAACCTTGAGGACATTATGCTAAGTGAAATAAGCCAGTCACAAAAAGACAAGTAACTATGATTCCACTTATATGGAATACTGAGAATACTCAAAACCACAGAGACAGAAAGTAGAATGGTGGCTGCAGGGGGACAGGCAGAGTGGGAACCGCTGTTTAATGGGCACAGTTTCCATTGTGCAAGCTGAGAAGCCTGTGGAGACGGATGGCAGTGACGGCTGCACAGCATTATGAATGTATTAACAGTTAACGTGATTGAACTGTGCACTTAAAATGGTAAAGACAGTAAGTTTTATGAGTATTTTACCAGAATTTAGAAATTAAAAGGAAGACAACCAGAAAGAATACACTAAGGGTTACAGGCACAAGGCCTCCTTGTGCCCACCACCATCTTGGCTGGTAGTTTGATGGCTGTAGACACCATTAGAGGCGATGGTGAATCCATGGAGAACCACCCAGGAAAGTCACCATCCAAATGTCCACATCCCTGCGTGGCAATTAAAACGAAGCCACTTTTCTTCAGCACCTGGTGAGGACGTTCAGTTTCTAGTGCTTTCCAAGATCCACCTCAGGAGAAGTCAATTTGTCCACAGGAAGCGTAGTTTCCAAAGCTGTCTACTGTGAACCTCTGAGAGATATGAATTGAATTCAGCTTCAGGGAACCAAAGTGGAAGTTCTCAAACAACTGAAAAGGAAGAATAAAAACCCAGAATGAACGTTTAAAGTATAGATGAAAATATTAAACATCAGATTCTCTTGTAAAAACACCAAACCACAACAATCCCAACAAATGTCTCATGCTTTTTCTTTTCAGTGTTTACTCTGAATAATGATCCAGGAGAGGAGGGATTGGGGTGGGAGTGAGAACAGAACAGCCAGCTCTCCTCTCTGAATTAATTCTAAAGTCTCCTCTGACAAATGCACCAGAGAAAGAGGTTCTGTAAAGTCAAATCCAAAATTTATCTCTTGAGCAGATATGACCAAGAACTTGTAGCAAAAACCCCGCGGCCAAACGCTGACTCACACAGCCTGACCAGGCTGCTTCTGACTTCCAGTTATTGACCGTGCAGGGATCCTGGTTTTGTTGCACCAGGGTTAAATTTGACGTAACATACGCCTCTACCTAATCAACACCATTTGTTAGGAGTGCTGACTAAAATAAATAGAAGATAAGGCTCCTGACTCACAAGTGATTCAGACAAGCCACTGAGGGGCACAGAACATCCACACGCACAGAACAACCCGAGGGGCACTTCTACTCGCCAACGGAACAAGTGCAAGTAATTACTTATCAAATACCTTTATTAAACGTGGATTCAAGCCAGCAACCTAAAATAAATACCTTTTACTATGATCCTGCACTTTATAAAAGGTTTCCAGTGTGTCAGAGGGAGGGATGAACCATACATACTCCAAGAGGGACTGAACTTTGTGACTACCACATTTATAAGGCAGAACCCAAAATGACATCAGAATTCATCCCAGGAAAATGCAGCCTATACTGCCTGAATAAGAAGTGCCAAAAGAATAAAGAGTGTACCTTCTTCTGTTAGGATGTAGGAACTGCTCTTAAAATGTCAGTACAATCCCAAAAAGCCTTTGTTTTTTAGAGATAGGGTTTCTCACTCTGTTGCCCAGGCTGGAGTGCCCTGGATCGCCATAGGGCAATCATAACTCACTGCAATCTCAACTCCTGAACTCAAGCAACCCTCCCGTCTCAGCCTCCCGAAGCACAGAGATTACAGGCATGAGCCACCATGCCTGGCCCCAATAAAGCCCTGTGATACACGTACCCAGGATGCTTGAGTGGGCCTTTGCACATAGGCAAGTGACTGTCTTTTCACTTATTTTTATACAACCTCCACACACATGGACTTTGGCCACCATTGCTTTTCCTCTTCCTGCAATTAATGGCCTAGCAAAATGCCTGAGGGTTCATTAAAGGCTAACTTTATAAAGCCCAGTAAATATTGATTCTTCAACATGACATCAACTTGACCCCAAAGATCTATTTAGAGGTTGTGTGCTGCATTGTCTTGTGTTTCAGAAAGGTGATCAGCTCCTGCCTGCATTGATTTACACAATTAACTTCTCTTCCTGGCTTTGGCAGCCTGCTCAAACCATATCCACCCTTTTATGTAAAGAAATTCAGCCTGAAATGGTTATCTGCTAATCCCTTTGCTGAACATTAATTTGAAGTGAAAGACACGTCACTAAGACTGACAGATTTATAGCTCTGCAAACTGAAGCCTTCCAGGTATAGAAAAGCTATAACCAAGGAGGCAATAAAAGACAATATAAAAGAAAACTAAAAAGGAAACTCATAATTCTTTCAACAAGTTACTTTTTAAGGATTGGCAGCCTGTGGATACTCTACCTTCTTCTCTTTGTGCCCGTGTTTTCAAGTAGTGGGGAGGCCACAGTGAGGAGCTGCAAGTGACCTACCCATGACTTCACTTTGCCTTATGCAAATGGCCTATGGACAGCGTGATCTGCCAGGGATATTCTCCTGCTCCAGGTTTAAGGAAAGAGCAAATGTAGCAATCATGAAGTTAGCTAGGATGTGACTGCAATGAGGTAACAGAAAAATTGAGAGAGATAACTAAACATAAATTCTCACATCCACTAAGGCAAGAGCAGGCTGTGGAAAGAGTGCTGGATTCTAAATGTATGCCTGGATCAGTAAGCTGTGTGACCATGGGTAGAAAACAATGCCCACTGTAACAACTACCACCAGGGCTAAAGATCATAATGGGCAAAGACCTCGTAAGAACAAGTACAAGGCTGGGCACAGTGGCTCATGGCTGAAATCCCAGCACTTTGGGAGGCTGAGGCGGGTGATTATCTGAGGTTGGGAGTTTGAGACCAGCCTGACCAACATGGAGAGATATGTTGGTCTCTACTGAAAATACAAGATTAGCCAGGTGTGGTGGCGCATGCTTGTAATCCCTGCTACTCAGGAGGCTGAGGCAGAAGAAACACTTGAACCCAGGAGGCAGAGATTGTGGTGAGCCGAGATCACACCACTGTACTCCAGCCTGGGCAACAAGAGCAAAATTCTGTCTCAAAAAAACAAACAACAACAACAAAAAAGAGCAAGTACAAGTACTTCGTGTGCTCACTGTGGAGGGCTTAAAAAAATAAAAAGTCCCTTGTAAACTGTAAAGTGCTATGGAAAATTAGTATTTCCATAGCAATATGGTATTTCCATATGGTATTTCTTATGATGTTTTTAAATATCTCTCTGCCATCACTACCCTTGTGTTTATTTTACCTTTGTAAGTCACCATGTTCTTTCATACCTTTTGATAATGTCACAACAAATGGATTTCTCATCCAGACATCCCTAGTGCCAGTACCAGTGCCAATCTTCATGTCGCCCTTCCTACCTCTGTTCTCGTCCCCTCTGTATGTTTACAATGATTTAGTAACAGATAATTTGCTAGCAATTTTTCAGTTATCTTACTGCTTAGTTGTTGTTTTTTTTAATTTTTTATTTTGAGAAGAACTCTGTCACCCAGGCTGGAGTGCAGTGGTGTGATCTCAGGTCACCACAATCTCCGCCTCCCTGGTTCAAGTGATTATCCTCCCTCAGTCTCCCAAGTAGCTGGGATTACAGGCATATGCCACCACATCCAGATAACTTTTGTATTTTTCAGTAGAGATGGGTTTCACCAAATTGGCCAGGCTGGTCTCAAACTCCTGACCTCAAGTTATTCACCTGCCTTAGCCTCTCAAAGGGCTGAGATTACAGGCATGAGCCACCATGCCTGGTCTGTTGTATCTTTATTCTTTGTTTTTTTTCCTTTTCATTTATTTTCTTAATAGAGACAGAGTCTCACTATGTAGCCCAAGCTGGTCTTGAACTCCTGGGTTCAAGTGATCCTCCTGTCTTGGCCTCCCTAAGTGCTGGGATTATAGCATGAGACACTGTGTCCTGCCAATGTATCTTTATTTCTAAGTCTTTCTTTTAGTTCTATCAATTATTTCTAGTGACTCACTAAAATATAAACTCTACAGAGGAAGAAGCTGGATCCTACCATGCACTGTAACATTATCTAGTAGACTGCATCTGATTGATAAATATCTGTTGGACAAAATTACAATGAAAACTAATGCTGTAGCTGTCTGTGTACATCCCCAATACCCCAAGTCTGGAAAGAGAAAACTATGATATGCACTTGTCTAGACCGGATTTCAAGGTCCAATTTATAGGAATTTCTAAACAGGACTTACCAAATTATATTACCTCAAATCAAGTGGGCAGAGGACCTTTCTACATGTTTCTTATTTGTGAAAACCTAGATCTCTTTCTTAGCTTCATTCCTGATCTGGAATATTGTTGTGCACCTGACATTATGCATTTTCATGCAAAAGAGGCACATGAAGTAGTTCTGACTCCCAAGTGCTTACCGTCTCATTAGGGGGAGTGCCTATCAGAGGAGGGAAATGCTGATGACCGGGGTGTGTCCACTTTATGAAAAGTCACTGAGTCCTTTGCTCTGTGATCTGTGTACCTTTCTGTATGTATGTTCTACTTTAATGAAAAAAGTTTACCTAAAACAATATAGACAGTAAAGGTTAAGTGTGTGAGATGAGAGGTACAGGCCATCAATCAACATAGCACAAGGTAAGGAAACAAAGGATGCTGAGGGTTGGGGACCTAGGAAAGCAACCTGGACTAGACCAGAGCTGGGCCTTGACAAGTATGGGGCATTACACAGAAGAGAGAGGGCAGCATGCAGGCAGAAATAGGCATGGTGGGCTGGGTCAGGCTAACAATTTAGATGTCTAGAAGGTTCCTAGAGTGAAGCAGCGAAACAGACAGAGGAAGGAGAATCAGATTAAGGGTGTCTAGGGGACCTGAGGGTCAAATTCACAAGTTAGACTTCATCCTACACGGTGAGGAACCACCGAAGGCTTTAGAGTAGGGTGGTGGCCCAAGATGAAAATCACATTTTAGGGAGATTAACCTGGGTGTGATGTGTTGTGCTGACTGGTGAAGGGAACAAGAGAAAGAAAAGAAAGGAGACCATGGTAGTAGTTCAGTCATGAGGGTGATGCTGAGTGTCTAAATTACAAACAGGCTGTGAGCTTGGAAGGACTGGAGCAGATGTGAATGAATGAATGAAGCCATGAATGAAACTATGAATGAAACACAGACCAGAGCTAAATGACAAGAATTTATGAACACAAAGAAGGAAACAACAGACACTGGGGTCTACTTGTGAGTGGAGGGTGGGAGGAGGGAGAGAAGCAGAAAAGATAACTACTCGGTACTGGGCTTAATACCTGGGTGATGTCATAATATGCACAACAAACCTCTGTGGCACATGTTTACCTATGTAACAAACCTTCATGTGTACCCCCAAACCTAAAATAAAAATTAAAAAAAAAAAAAAAAGGAACATAGAAACACCCTGGTGACTTTCTGGATGAGAAGGAGATAGGAAAAATCAGTGATGATGGGTCAAACGGGTGTGTATGAGGCTGCCACTGATAGTAACAGGACATTTCTGAGAGGGAGCTATTTCACAGGGAGAACGATGACAAGTTCAGGTATGCTTACACACTCACAGGCTACATCACACTGACTCTGTGTCCCAAGCCCTTCTCCAATCTAGGATTTTCCTGGAAGACTCAGAGTATGCATTAGAGACATCTGTAGCACAGTTAAGAGGAAAC